AATAGCAGTCCACAAGAGAGTGACAGACATACGAAAGAACTAAGGTTAGAGGAAAATGACGATACTAAGGATGAGGAAAGAAAAATGTGCAGTATATAGTTCCCCCTATGTTGTTCCTGCACAATATGAGCATGACATTGATAAATCATCCCAGTTCAAGGAGATTAAAAGTAGTTCTAAACTCCTTGGCCCAGTCACAATTTTCTACTGTGCATAAGAAGAACATAATATTTCCCCTTTGGGAATGGCCTAAGACAAGTCAGCCCTGGTGCTAATAATAAAAACACCAACTACAACAAAAATAACAAAAACAACAACAACAACAGTATACATAATATATAATATAGTAATAATTTCCTTTCTTTCTCATTTCCTTTTGTTTTCTCTTTCGTGTTGTGGGTGTGTGGGCGTGCACGCGTGCACGCGCGCGCGCGCGTGTGTGTGTGTGTGTGTGTGTGTGTGTGTATGTGTGTTTGTATGTTTGTATGTGTGTTTGTATGTGTGTTTGTATGTGCGTCAGCGTGCGTGCGTGCGTGTGTGTGTGTGTGTGTGTGTGTGTGTGTGTGTGTGTGTGTGTGTGAGTGTGTCTGTGTGTGTTTATGTGTTTATATTGTGTGTGTGTGTGTGTGTGTGTATGTATGTATGGTGTGTGTGTGTGTGTGTGTGTGTGTGTGTGTGTGTGTGTGTGTGTGTGTGTTTGTGTGTATCCAGATACCTGGAAGTATCAGTTCTCTGGCTCAGAGATTCACGTATAATGGTCCACCAATGCCCACAGTCGCCAGCTGCTTTATTACATTCTTTTTTTCTTTTGGTGAGCGTTTTTACTTCGACGGTGTTCTGAAGTCATGCACATGGTCATGTACGTGAGCGCGGCAGTTTAGCAGGAGGTATCTGCTACCACCTCGCAGTTCTCAATATTTCTCCTAGATTTGCCTTGCCTCTATTCGCCACCAAAGAAGTTTTAATAAGATCTAGATTTAAGCTAATTACTGTCGGCCTGCCACGAAAACAGCTAGCCCAGTCCACCGCAAGCAAATTGGAACATGGACTAGAAATCTACGAATAGCAGCCAGTACGACTCAATAATGTTATTATTATTATTATTGTGCAAGACAAACACTTCCGGGTTAGCAAATTATCAACACATCAGCTGCCTTGGAGTTTTGTTTGATGCGGTTGTGCCGCTTTCCACTTTCCTCTGTCGGTTCTCGGATGATCTTTGCTTGAGGTTGAGTCTTTGCTTTCGTGCCATTCTTCTAGATCTAGATTCTAGATCTACTATTATAAAAAAAAACATCAGGACTTGCACTATTTCCATCTACCAAGTACGTCTGCATTATATTATATCTGTCTTTGGTGTAAAAATTATCAGTATAATTAATTAGATTCAACAGAGGTCCCGGTTTCGAATCCGGATAGCGACTGAAAATTTTCTTCCCTAAAATTGTCTCCTTTCACCTCCTTTCATGCTCTCTATCCATGTTCTGTCGTCTGCTTTCATCTCCACTTTCTGCCCCCACCGCCTCACCTCCTTTGCCCCCTCCTCAGGGATCCTGACTCTTTCTGCAGCCTTTCTACTGCTAGACTAGATTCAAGACTACTCCTTCTGTCCTTGGTTCCTTCTTACTTACTGCTGTTTTTCAGCCACACCCCTGATCTTATCGTAGGAGAAAGATCATGCACCTAACCTTCTCGGAGAAGGAGAGGGAGGGGGGGGGGATCTTGGAGGTCCCATGTGCACGATGATCCCATGAAAGATCCCTTAGTGGTCCAAACATAAAGTTTGCTTCAGCCGCCACCCGGGCAAAATTCAGAAGAGGCTAGTCTAGCCATACTTAATTTTAATTAGGGCTAGATTCTAGATCTAGACTGTTAGGCTAGCCGTTCTTAAGTACGTCTAGACAGCTGGGCTAGCCGTACTTATTCTTAATTAATATGATGGCTAGACTGACCATAAAAAAAGGCCAACTAATTGTAAAGAAATTTTTAGTTTGCAGTACCTTAATTTATTAAAGTATTTGTATTTGAGATGAAACCAGGTGCCTTAATGACTGTGCATGTATTTTAAACCTCCTGTTTTCTACATGTATTTTAAACCTCCTGTTTTCTACATATGTATTTTAAACCTCCTGTTTTCTAATGTTAACAGGGCCTAAGATAAATACGGCTAGACTGGGAGGCTAGCTGTACTTTGATGGCTGAAATTAATTTTTTAGTTTGAAAAGCCTTAAAGTATTAGTATTTCAGACAAAACCAAAAGGTGCCTTATTGACTTGCATTATTTAAACCTGAATAACTTCTAGATCTAATGAGACCTGTGTACTCAACAGGTTCGAGTCGATAGGGTCAAACCAAGGGCTAGACTGGCAGTCTAGCCCTGGACTACTGTCAGGTTAGGCTTAAGTACGGATAGCCACTTCGATTCAAAATTTCCTACTGAGTTTAAGAGATGTGTCCCGTGCGCTGATACTAGATATCTAGATCTAGGCCTATCGTGATATTGTGCAGTTGCGAGCGCCGTACAACACACACTTACCAAATTAAAAAAACCCACCAAAAACCCCCAGCAACACACACACACACACACTCACACACACACACACACACACACACACACACACACACACACACACACACACACACTCTCACACAAACACACTCACTCTCTCTCACTCACACACACACACGCACACTGAAACACACAACAGACATACACTTGTTTTCATTGTATTCAATACTTTCAATCAACGCTGTTCCTTGACATAAAGTGAGACAGCGTGGTGAAATCAGGCACTCGTCAAAATTATAATCAAAGTGAAGTAACTGGCATTTTTTCGCAGGTTTGTCAATTTGTATTGGATTTTTGTTCTTTGGCTCAACACTTTTCATGCCCATTAAAGAACACATTTCTGTGGTGGATTTTACTGAAAAACGTTTTAAGGATAAAAGATAAATTTATAGTTTCCGCAGACCCTCAAGCAGCCTAATGAAATATAGATCTATCTTTGGCGGCCTTTTTTTCACTAATTTTATCTCTGAAACCAGATGACCCTCACCTCCTTCATTTGCAAATCTAGACTTCTATTCAAGATAAATGGACATTTTTTCATCCAAGGCAAGACAAATGAAATAACTCCCCAGCCAGCATGAAAACGGCGGCCAGAAATCTACTCGATGTAGGACAACGATAATGTCCGACCTAGACCAGCTTTTGCCGCTGCAGGCGGCTGGAACTCATTTGCTCCCACTTTTGATCGGCGGCCCGAAGTTGGCCACTCCGTAGGGTGTAGTGTCAGCCCGAGGGCGGCAGCCGACCTGTTCATTATATGCAGATGGTGACCCTATATTCTGTTTCATATCGGGTCTACGTTGGCCAAGCCGTCACGAATTGTAGGCCCCAGGGCGGTGGCTGACCTATTCATTATATGCCGATGACGACCCTATGTAGAACCGCCGGATTTTTATCACCATTCCCTCCCCCCTCCATCCCTCCTCCCCCTCCCTCCCCCCTCCAAGATTGACATATATATGACATAGCAACAGGATAATAAAAGAAGAGATAGAAGCAAAAGTTATGTGAAGAAAATCAGATTAAGTACGGTATGGTAATTGGAAGAAAAGAAAAGCTCAGAAAAGGAGGAACCCATACACAAGTGACAAAACTGTATAGAACTACATTGTAAATTACTATTAATATTATAATGTTTATTTACAAAGCAGATACAAGTTGGTCAAAAAACATAAAAAGTCCCCTTTAGTAACAGCATCACACATATTCTTTTTCTTTTACTTTAATGAAAAATGAAAGTGTGTACATGAACAATGTTCATATAGAGTTGACATAGCCTACATTTGTGTAAAATAAAATTGTTGACAAAAATAGGTTTCTCTTTTGTAAACTAGGCACAAAGATTACATATAGTCAAGCTATGATCATGGAAGTGAAAAATGAAAATTACAGTAGACTCCGCTTAGTGTATAACGTTTTCTGAGGTCCTTACTACACCTGATCTTTCTTCTTTACAAATTACACAGTTCCCCTGACATAAACTCATCTGTAGTCGACTGTAAACAGTTGGGTTTTTGGGGGTTTTTTTAACGGATAGAGGTAGATCTTCATAGGCAGTGCACACAACAAATTCATGCTCTCAAAATCTAGCATTTTTCTATACCAAAAAAATATTTTTAAAAATAATAATGATTTATAAAACGAATCTAGCACCCCTCACGGTGTTGCTTTGTGCTCAACAATATGCACAACCAAACTCAAAGTGAATAAACATGATATCTAATGTTTACAATGGTACTGTACAACCATAGACTCATCAGTCATCAGCATCACACATTCCTTACTCTCATACACATGTAAATGTAATCTCTTTGCGCACATTCCCTCTTTTTCTGTAATTCTCTCTCTCTCTCTATATATATAAAATAATCTAATGACTAATATATATACATATACTTTGCAACCTCACATACCAAGAGTCTAAAAAAGAGGGACCCATATTTATTAAAGGGCAAAAAGTCTGTTCTTAGGGTCAGTTTCAATTTAAAAACTTGGCACAATAAAAAAAAAAAAATCATAGCTGTCATTTGTGCATCAAGTTCAATAAAACTTTGCATAAAATTAAACCGAGGGGACATTAAATTTGTTAGTATGAAAACAGAAAAAAACTAGGTCGAGAATAAAAGTTTTTAAAATTCCAATCAAACCTGCTGAGAAAACACTAAACTTTACATAAAAATCTTAAATCAACCATTATATTATAATAACGTGTACTAAAATGTACATTAAATAGGCCAACAACAATTAATGTATATAATTTATTTAAAACTGACAGTGTTATAGACCGACTGTCTTCCTATTTGGGTTTTATTTGTTCGTTGGGTTTGGGTTTTTTTTCTTAGAGACACGAGTCAAGGAAATAACCCACATACAATCAAATAGTTGAAACTCAATGGTGAACAGAAGTTTTGTTCAACATTGAGTCATTGAAAAGTCCTGAGAATCAACCCAGAAACGTGCCATTTCAAGCTGTATAAAGAGCTCTAGAGAGATAAATGGTCAATTACTGGACAGCCACCCCTTTCCCTGAGATTATTTCTATGTCAATTTTGAATAAATTCACATTATAGTTCATCAAACAATCTGAAATCTCAGACACATGTATGAAGAAGGAATGATTTCAGAGATAATGCAAGAAAGATCGAGAGGAAAATTTATCAAAATTATTTTGTGCGTAATGAATGTAAATCCCTCTGATCTTCTCTCTTGTGAATCTCCATCTCAAAAGGGGTACAATATCTTAAGTATACTGCAAACAAATAAAATATCAACTGCCAAGAAATAACAATAGTGATGATGCATTTATCTAACAAAAACCCCAGAAGGAAGAGGGACATAAGTGACAAAATTGTTTAGAGAACTGCATTGTAAATTATTCGAACATTTTTTAAAATGTAGCCTAGCAGCTCAATGTTTACGCGTTATAAAACCAACAGACATTTGCCTGCTGCATGTGACTGTTTTCAAAAAATTAGTTAAGTCTTCGCTTTTGGCTTTGCATCTGCTTTTTTTCTTTTTCAACACTTTCTTTCATTTTCTGTGACAGAGCTTGATAACTCTTACCTGATTTTTCATGTCCAAAAACTGACAACTGATTCTACAACGTCTTGGCACATATGAACTTGGCTACAGTTATAATAACATTTAAAATTATTTTATCATCTAATCCTTCTGGACAATGTGTTTTTGAGTAGGTCACATCTGATTTTGAAAGGTGTCGCGTAAAATTATCAGTGTGTTGATACTCGGATAAAAGGGCCATTTGACTAGAGGAATTTCAGTCAGTTGACTACGTAACAGCAGGCTGGAGAACAATAGGATATAATAACCAACATAATAACTGTTCTATAAGGATTGAGAAAATTATGTAGGCTACACTTTCCTTCATTGTGAAATCAATTCAGTGTGACCAATCTGCTGCACAGATTAAATTAAAAAATATTGTTCTTCGGCACCCAGAAGTACAGAATACTTGCATGAGAATTGGGTTACTGTCTTATCATTACAAAGTCTAATTTAGTCTAGAACTTTTTTTCAATGTTACAATTTCTCCAAACCTTTGATATCTTTTACTACCCTCCTGTTTTTTTAGTGTATGTTTAAAGATGTAATGTAAGTGTTCCAGTCACTTGCAAATGCCATGATCTCTACATAATCTGTAATTCAAAGTTCGGCATCTCTTTCATCTTGTTATGACGGGAATAGATTTGTGGGGAGATGTATGCCACTTTGACTGTAGCATGGCTTCCCTTCCATCATCATGGGACTTTTTTGTTGTATGCTTTCAATTTCTTCTGTATCCTGTCACCCTAACTCAGGGAAAAGAAACTCATAACGACCAGTGTTGTTTGCTTTACAACCAAAGAGATGGACTTCTTTTGATGAGCATGATTTACTTTATAATGAATTGAATGTTCTTTTTTTTGTCTTGCTTTCCACAATATGGTTTGAATTTTTTTTCTTTTTTTAATAGGCCTAAACCTGTTTTTTCTCTGTGTTTCAAATTTCTACTTCTCTGTTCTTGGAAATTCAGAATATGGTCGCATTTTCCTCTGATCTTTTTCTATTTGCTCAAGAATTTTGAAGAGCAAGATATCTGAAGTTTTTGATTAAACGTTAAATATTATAGCCTAATAATACAGTTTAATAATAAAGTCAAACCTGATCAAGAAAATAACCACTAGTTCAAGACTATCACCTGCAAACAAACACTTACACCACTTCATCCATTGCATTAAAAAAACAATTTTAAGGAGACTGTCCAAGCAAACTCTTGTCCACAATGATAACTTCTTTTCTTAACAATGATGGTTGTCGGTTGTCTTGGACAGGTTTTACTGTATCACTTGTACAAACAATTACCACTTCTCACTTCATCCACTACATTTTAAAATTTGTACAAAATATAATGACACTGTCAAAGCGTAAATCTTGTCTTCATCATTTGACGACTTCTTTCTTAGGCAAGTTTGACTGTATTGCTGTCAATTCTCAATATTATAGTTTGACTTCTTATATTTTTCTCATTTTCCTCAGATATTGATCGCTCGGTCCTCAAGTTTAAATTTGCAAGTAGATCTGTGACCTCCAAGTTTGTATAATGGATTCTATAGAGCAGCCATTTGACAGTATAACTCGCATTGGACAAGAGGTACCAAATACATGTGAGTACCTTTTTGTTTTTCAGTATTGGGCCAAAACAGTAAATGAGTCTTTTCATAATTGTAGTATTTTGGATTTTGTTCTTTACTTAATGTTGTGTCTGTGTTTGTGTGAGCCGGATACTGGATGTAGTTTAGTTGAGGGAGGAAAATTCAAAATGTATCCTGTTTGTTTAATAAGAGCCTGTTTGGGGTTCGTCATCCCAACATTTTATATAATACTATTTCAATGTTCATTGGCGTAAGGGGGGACATTTCCCATTCAAGCTCAGTAGAATTGTAAATGGGCTGATTCATGTCACGCTCAACTGTGCCTGATCTACAACAGGGAACTGCTGCTTTTTCTTTCCTAATACTCACAATTGTCATTTTCCCTATACTTCTTTTGTATGTTTGTCACTCTCTTGTGACCTGCTATTTTTGGGGTGCCTTGATAGTTGAAGCAGACCTTGTGCTTTTGAAGCTAGAGAGGTGAGCAGAATAAGTCTGATTCCCTGTAAAGACTTCTCTGTTGACATCCACCCCTTGGCGCTCATATGACCTTATGCAGTTGCGAGCGCAGTAAAACCCTCTTCTACAAAAAAAAATCCATATGCATATCCTTTGTCTTCTGAACCGTAATAAGTAATAAGTTCATATTATATTTACACTCATAAATAGGCCTACGGGATGTGCACGTTCCCTGTCGTGTGGTTTGACTGTCAGAGATAGAAACAGTTTTAGGGGATAGCTGGCTATGTTTGAGATTCAAGGGTTGTTTTTTCATTCTGCTCAGGTCTAATTAATCGAACATGAAATAATCTTACTCTCTAACCAATTGCGTAGAGGTAGTTTAATCTAGAGAGCAAATGAAATATTTAATATATATAATAATATGCTGGAAAGGCTATTTTTTAATTTTTGAGAACTGTAAGAACAAAGAGACTTTTCTTCTGCTGTAATACAATTAATTTTACACAGGTGGTCCTTTCCTAATCTAGTTGCTCATTTGCGACATGGTCCTCTCTATGAATAATAATAATAGTAATAATTATAATAGTGAAATATAACAATAATATAATGTTGATAATAATGATAACAACAATAAAAATGATAATAATAATGGTAATAATAGATAGCACTTGTATAGCGCAAATTCCGGCTCAACAGCAAGGTCTCTGTGCTTTACAATCAATAGGCCTACTATTACCCCAGCAGACTTGATAACATTCTGAAACAATCCTTATGTACTGGGAAACATAACACCTCATTTGGGGGGTAGATTCAGGGTACCTAATTCTATTTTCATTTGACTTCCCCACCAGCCGACAAAGCGGAACTCATTGAAGATCAGAGAGATCGACAGAAGAATGTGCGCAACGGAGACAGCCCAGGGGCAGAGAACTCTCCACTCCACCAGTCTAAGTCGACTAATAGTCTCTTGTGAGTACAGTAAATTCTTCAGGGTTCTAGCTTTTGTTGTTGTTAATGTAGTTGGTGGTGGTGGTGGTGTTGTTATTGTTGTTGCGGTTGTTTTTGTTGTGCGTGTGTGTGTGTGTAGAGACAGAGAGAGAGAGAGAGAAAGAGAGACCAACAGAGAGAGAGAGAGAAAGAGAGACCAATAGAGAGAGAGAGAGAGAAAGAGAGACCAATAGAGAGAAAGAGAGAGAAAGAGAGACCAATAGTGAGAGAGAGAAAGAGAGACCAATAGAGAGAGAAAGAGAAAGAGAGACCAATAGAGAGAGAGAGAGAAAGAGAGACCAATAGAGAGAGAGAGAGAAAGAGAGACCAACAGAGAGAGAGAGACCGAATGTAATTCGTTTCCCTCTTTGGGAACGACTTGCCATTTTCACTCAGCCAGCCTCAGGCTGTGGATCTGAATAATGTTTGAACAACAAATAATCATTCTCATCAATGCCTTTCATCCCCTGGCAGGGTATAGGCCACATAAACAAGCTCCTTCCATTTATCATCTCTGTACTGGGCCATCCTTCCAAGCTCGTTCCAATTTAAGTGAGCTTCATCTCTCTCATGTCCCTTTCCACACATCTCCTCCATGTTTCCCGTGGCCTACCCCTGCCTCATGCTCCCCGTGGGTTTCACTGCAGCGACTGTCTTGTGACATTTCCGCTGGGCTTTCTAAATTGCTACACTAGAATTGCAAACTTCTATCTGTCCAGTACCTAGTTTTGAGATATTTGAATATTTTTTTTTTAAATTGAGTTTCCAGACATGTCAAGCTTTTTCGAATGCAATTCGTTTGATATCTAGCGTGAGAACGACTCAAAACGATATTCCGATTTTGATACAGTAAATAGAACATAATTTAGATTCTGACATCACATGTAATTCAAAACGACCAAAAATGTCAGATAGAACTTTGTAATTCTAAGGTAGCAAAATAGCATTTGTAAAGCTCAAATTCCGCTCAACAGCAAACCCTTTGCACTTTACAATCTATATTTTTACACTTGCAGTCTTGATATCATTTTGAAAAAATCTTAACTTCCTGGGAAGCATGCAGTGCAAGCTGCCATTTTACAGGCGCTAAAACATTTAACATGCTGACAAGATCTTTCCCTGTCTATGGCCGGGTACCCTTTCCCACCTGGGTGAAGTGAGGAACATTTGTGTAAAGTGCCTTTCCCAAGGACACAACGTCAGGCTGTAAGTTCCAACCCCCGAACCTTCAACCTCTCGATTTCGAGTCCGGTAGCCTAACACTGCACTACTGATGATTATATAATATATGTAAGATTCTTATATTTTGTTTCTGTATATATGTATATAT